TCCGTCCCTCCAGCCCGCCACTCTAACGCCATCCAAACCTCATCCGTCCCTCCAGCCCGCCACTCCAACGCCATCCGAACCCCATCCGTCCCTCCAGCCCGCCACTCTAACGCCATCCAAACCTCATCCGTCCCTCCAGCCCCCCAGTCCAACGCCATCCAAACCTCATCCGTCCCTCCAGCCCCCCAGTCCAACGCCATCCGAACCCCATCCGTCCCTCCAGCTGGTGTTACTGCTAGTACTGTTGTGTGGATAACTGAGGATGGCCGCGTTCTGAAGTGCCCACGAGTGGAAGGGCTCTGAATGGCTGGTAGTGTAGTGCCAGCAATTTGGTTGCGGTTTCTCCGCATTGTTTACATTCAGTTCAAGGTCGCGCCGCCTCGAAATACTCTTGGCTCGCAGCTCGCGGCGCGGTGTGATCGTTCGGCTGATTAATTAGTTTCTCTCGCTTTTATTTGTTTAACCCTTTTCGGACTACACTACTGACTACATATACTGCGCTGCCCGTGACGCCTACCGCGCCGCCCGTGACGCCTAGCGTGCCCTCCGTGACGCCTGTGCTGCCCGTGACTCCTGCCGCGCCGCCCGAGGGTCAGCCGCCCCTCCCGGCGCGTGCCCCCCGACCGCCGTCAGCACCGCCCCCGGCGCCCTGCTCTGTGCCGGCGCCGCGTTCGATTTTGCGGACTCGAGCTGGACGGGAGGTCAAACGACTCGCTCGATACCGTGTGACGTTTGTTGGACAGTGACGTCTTTCGTTGTGTCGTGCAGGCTCTCCTTTTTTGTCGACCGGCTCCGATTCGTGTTTCTCATCACCGCTCTGGGGGGGGGGGGGGGGGGGGCCTGTAGTGCCTGCAATTTGGTTGCGGTTTCTCCGCATTGTTTACTTTCAGTTCAAGGTCGCGCCGCCTCGAAATACTCTCGGCTAGCAGCTCGCGGCACGGTGTGATCGTTCGGCTGATTAATTAGTTTCTCTCGCTTTTATTTGATGTGTGTGTTAAGTAAATATATCTAAATTGTATTTAACCCTTTTCGGACTACACACTATAGTAGTATCATATGGAATGGAGCCAATGATTAGCTCCTGGGGCTCCTTTCATTATCGCGTTATTCGTTATTCGCGTTATTCGTTATCCAAGGGATGATTGAGACGGTTAATTACTTTCCTGGCATTGTTTTAGTCTCTGTTCTGGGATACATATCCCAACGGTATTTTCTTTTTCTTTCAGCGTGTATTAGTGTTTCACTTTGTTTCCATTTAGCTTCCTAGCATTGCCAATATACGTATCGTTTCACGTGTTTGATGGTTTTAATCCGCAAAGAAGGAGAATTATGTTGATGACTTTTTCTCGCACACACACAGCAGAGGTTCCTCGAAAACAACGTGAGCGCAGCTGCACGCTGCCAACTTTGGCATAGCTCAGGAGAGCCAAAAAACACCGATACTGTCTCTCCGGCCTGCTTTGTGGTGCGATTGAACCATCCAAAATGCGACACTATCACCACCGGTCTCGGAGAAAAACGTGTCCACATTTGATGAATTTCACTCGAGGCAAATATCCGGGGAGAAGTCATTGCCAAACACCGCAAGACCGAGTACACTTTCGAGTCACAGATGCTTAAAAACACGCCTCGTATCTTCCACGGAGGTTTGACATTGGACACGAAAAAACACGCACACAAAATACACAAAACAAACACAAAACAAAAACTGTTCAGAACGTCCGTAGTACCTATTCATCGAAGTCACCGTCGCTCAACTAATCAATGCATCCATCAGCGAGGTAGCCATATATGACAAGCACGGTTCGCTATTATTAAAAACAACTAATGAAGAACCCAAGGAACCATATGGCCTTGGGAAATGGGAACCATGTCATTCTCGTAGCCAGTTGATAAACCCGCATAGACTATTAAATCCGTGGGAAACGCAAGGAGTGCACTATCACAACACTGTATTTTCGACTGAATCTTGGACTATCGTCGATGCTTGGACGCCTCGAACACTGGCACATTATACCCTGGTTAACATGAACCACAGCCAAACGAATGCTCCCCGACTCGCATTCCCCGTCCGTCCCAAGCTGGAGCATTCCACGATAGATCGTACCTACCACTTTTTTCTAATTTGACACCCTCATCTCTTGGATTTTGACGACAATTGGTCTAATCAGGGGCTCTGAATCCTCCAGTAACAATTTCAGTCTTATCAGATGAGTAGTTTTTGAGTTATAGTGTATAATTGGATCTTGCGTTGCAGCGCGAAGTTGGGCAGTACCCGGTGCGCGCGTACCAGGTGTCCAGGATGGCAAAGCTGCAGAGCAAACCGACCCGCAGCAGGACAGAGAACCCCTAACAGTAAAACTTGGGTGAGAACGAACTTAATGAGACGCCCTGTAAATGCGAGGGTTAAAACATATCGCGGCACTGACTTTCTAACACTCCACTAGACAGCAGCGGACGTCTGCCCGGCCCGTAACACTGCAATAGGCAGCAGCAGACAGACTGTCCAAGTAATCTTGGACTGTCCGGCCCCATAATACTACCAGTAAAACGCCTTTTGGGGCGACCAACGGAGCGAGCGAGAGGGTGGGCCGTTCTCGAGACTCTGCACGTGCATACGCGCAAAATGTGTCCCAACTGACTTTTGCACTGCACCCTACTAACCGTTCCCTAACCAATAAACATGTACCAAATTTCAGCGCAATCGGTTCATCCGTTCTCGTTCTCGAGATCTGGAATCGACCCCTGCACGTGCGCACGTGCAGCAGCACCCCAACTGTGGCACATGGATATGCATTGCCTAAAGGGTGCCTACCTACATGCCAACTTTTAGCGTAATCGGCCCAGTAGTTACTGAGATATTGCCATTGTTACAAAACGGACAACTCTTCGTTTTTGGACGTGGCACGTGCATAAGGGGTCACCCACATACATCGGGAATAGTCCAATACTCGGTAGGAATGAAGCTACCCTACAAAAATTACCGCATGTAAATCGGTCAAGTGGTTGCTGAGATATAAGCCTCGCAAAAGCGTCCGCACGACCGGCCGGCCGCTCATACTCAGAAATTTCCGTTAATCTACGAATGACTCCGCTCGCTCCGTAACCAACAGACAGGAGCTAGGCATACGTGTGACGCCATTCTCCTGAACGTGAGTCACACAAATAGCCTATCCAGCGTGGCGGCGAGCAAGGCGAGGAGTTCGTTGCCGCTAACGCACAGAAGCTGGATGATCGGCAGTAGCCCCCGCCGCCTCTAAGCAGTCAGGCATGTTCTTCTGAATGTTCTGAAACAACATTGAAAAGTTGATGTCAATCTGTTCAAATAAGTCAGGTGGTTGCTGTATTTTCAGTATTATCCCGCACCGAAGACGGTGTTTACAATTGCCTCACGTGCTAAGAGAGAAAATTATTAGATGTTGTGTTATGTGTAACTGATTTGTTAAACAGGCACCTATAAGTTTGTTAAACGTCTGGTGACGATAACAAACTGTTATAGTTCGTTTTTTTTTTACTTGCCCCTCACTGTAAACGTCTTTTTGAACATAGCCCGAGAATTGCTAGCTGAATTACTGAGAAAACTGGTTGGCGCACATTGTACTGGAGATAATAATATTTTCAAAATAAGTTTTGAACACCGACGATGTAACGTTAATGTTAAACGCCGTGCAATTTATCAATTAGTTCAGACATAATTCCTGAGAAGTCGTCTATCACTGTGGAGCTGTAGGTATGGGCAAATACGAGCTATGAGTCTGTGAAATAGTAAACAAATATGATGAAATTGATCGTCTGTGAAATCTGGTGAAATCAATGTGCGCCCAATGTGCGCCAACCAGTTTTCTCAGTAAGTCAGCTAGCAATTCTCGTGCTGTGTTCAAAAAGACGTTTACAGTGAGGAGCAAATTAAAAAAAAAAAACGAACTATAAAACGTCTCGTAGACATTTCAGTCATTTGACCGCCTCAAGATATTTTCGCTGGTGTTCGCAGTAAAACGCAGTAAAACATCACTTTCCGTTTTTTTAGTTGACTTTGAGACCTCATCTTCGATGAGCTTGTCAATTTCAGACATTACTTTGCCTTGATCGTTTTTTCAAAGCTCTATCCGTCACTACTTCTCTTGGCCTCTGCTAAAATATGTCATACTTTTTATGTACGATGTATTTTTACCCTTAAGCGCCTGAAAGATATCGGCGGTACCGGATAAAATTAGGTAGGTAGGTTCGCTCTAGGTAGAAAGATATTTTAAAAGTCGCACCTATCGGCTCGACGTTTAAAAGATTTGTTTTACCTACTTGCGGTTTAACATGTCTTTTATATAGCCACCCTTTAAATATAATCCCTTCCCGCTGAACAAATCATGGAGCAGAAGTGAATGCCTTCTCCACGTTGTATTTTAACTTGCTAAGCCTGAAGTTTATTATATATTAAACCGCGAGTAGGTAGAACAAGGCGAGACGTTTACAAAATTTTTCTACCTACGAACGGTTTAATAATTTTATCTCGTACCACTGATATCTTTCGGGCGCTTAAAGGCAAAAATATATTTGATATAAAAAAAAACAAGAGATAACGTTGAACAGTAGGTATGTTAATCGTCTAGACGTTTAACAGATCGTTACACGACATCTGATGATTTTATCTCTTTGCATGTGAAGGAATTGTAAACACTGTCTATGGTGCGAGATAATAACGGTTCACTATTTCCTCTAGAACGCAAACCAATAGCCAATTGGCTTTAAGTGGTTGTGCTCGTATGACGATTATCTCCGCCGGATCAGAGTCGCTGATGGGCCAGCATACTGCTTGAATCGTGGGCTGGCACGCTAAAATTAAGAGAAAGAATGCAGGATGGTGGAAAATATGTCATTCCATTTAAAACGCAAATGTTTTTGGATAAAGGTGTCCACTGTTTATGTTATATATATGCTTAAACAAAACATTTTGTAACTATCATAGGTAATAAATAATGAAAAGCATATTAGGAACAGAACAATACCTGGCGTGAGGTATGTTCGTAAGACAGAAGAGGCCTCTTCCAGGTAGAGTCCCCGCTGTATGACGGCTTCAGTTAATAGGGCCTGAAGACCGTGCAGTACAGGGGTTGACTCAAGCCTGAGTGAGTAACGGTCACCAGCTGCGACCGGCTCCAGGACAGCCTCTCGCTCTTCTTCTGGGCGCGCAATCTGGTTCGTCACGACCTGGTAACGAATGTGTGAAATTGAACCAGACACGACAACAATGGGATATTATATGAATGTTGTAGGGGAAACGGGCAATAGTAAGAATCATTGTCCGATGTGACGTCAGAGTAGCCCGAGGGTGAAGACCTTCGCCTCGTGGACGAGGGCAATAATGCTTGTTTAGGTCTTCGCCCGAGGGCTACAGTGGTGTCACAGAGGGCAGTATTTTTAATTGTCCCTATCCCATGCAGTATTCGTTTTATTCCATGGCCTATCCCAACTCGCTGATAAATATCGTTAAATATGTTGCCACTAAGAAGAAAATTGAAAAAAGATTCAAACACGCACCAATTACTTTGGCCGTTGCCATGGTGTCACTAACAAAGATATGTATTCCTTCAGAAGGAAATTAGCTCTGAAAATTGCGACCAAAAGTCAAAATCATTACACACCCCGTTATCTTACGGGTCATGTAATAATATACATTATTCAATAACAGTAGGATGGCGCGATCCAGCAAGATCTAATGTAAACGCCACGATATGCACAGTTAAAGTACCTGGTAGCCAAATAAAACGTACCGTGAGGGTATGGCAAAGCCGGTCCACGACGTCCTTTGAATGAGCGACCAGGTTAAGCATTTCTTCTTGAACGATTTCTAACTCCTCGCGTGATCGTTCCAGACGCATGTGCAAGTCGCAGACGGCACGTTTCGCTGACAGTGAAAGCGCAATTCCACTGGCATTTCCAGTCTGGACGTGCCAGGGAAAGACGCCCTCAACAGCCTCCGTCATCTCGATGGTCGTACCATTTTCCCGTTCGTATTGGGCCAAGAGCTTAGATAGCTTCAGCTTGTCGGCAGATACGAGCCTGCGGTATCGCGCCCTGCCCTTCGCAGTGCTCGCTGCGTTCGTTGTGGCTGCGTGGCGAACTCTCACGCTATCGCTTACCATCTCGATGGCATTTTCCAGGTTGCCTCCGTGTGACTGGACGTCTCTGCTGCTGAGAGATGCTGCGAGGTTTCGCAGTTCGTCGACCAGAGAGTTGATATGGTCCGAAGAGATGCCGTTTTCTCGCAGGGCGGTGTCGAGCTGGGACTGGAGCATCGGGATCCTCCTTTCTGCCTCCTTCATCTTGCGGATCAAGAGGGTTGGCATGCGTCGGTGCTTTTCCTCGTTGTATTTCAGCACCATGTCGGTGAGCGCGTCGTTCCTCTGTGCTGAGGTCATGTACTTCGTCGTGTTGCACGCTCGGCTCAGGAACGCGTTTGCGATTTCGGTCGTTTCCATGACCGACCACCCAGAGCCTTCACGCCAGAAGCCGCCAAATGTGATCTGAAGAAAAACGAAACAAAATGTTTTGAAAAGGCTACAAAACATAGTTTTCTCAAGCCAATTCGCAGTCAAACGCTGCAGCTGTGTATTCCAGGTGAGCATTACTTTGCTATTTGAAATTCGGATTAAAAATAGCATTCGAGTCATGGTGGCGATGCGAAAATGATCATTAAGACCAACACAGCAAAAGAGGAAAATCAAACACATACATTTTTAAAATGTAGTCTGGCTTTAAAAAAATAGCGTACTGATCAAACATGAACAAGATTCCAGAATGAGGGGCTTTATGGCATTCGTGGGCATGCCGAATATTTGTGCCAGAAATAGTAAAACTGAACAATGTTTGCACAAGTGATGCTGGAATCCATTATGTTGGTGCTGTAAACCTATTCTCGGGCAAACCAGCTATCTGGCGTTGGTTGGTAAAGCGGCAGTGAACAAACAGAGGAAATAAAAATCCACAAACCTGGCAGTAGTAAGCATGGCCAGTAGCGTGCATGACGCTAAGGAAGGGTTCCGAGCCATGGGTGTCGTATTCAGGCCAACGCCTCGAAACACGCTGAGTCCAGGGCCAGTATTTACACACTATGTCGCTTGCATAATACTTGACGGCTGGGAATCGCGATTGGTGTAAATAATGACTGTAGGCATACGACTCCCCGCGATACATGTTGCATCCCGCCAAGATGACACTGTGACGGCAGGTCGCCACAATCAGTCCAGTTTCGTCTTGAGACCGTTTCGACGGCGGTTTTTCAGGGTTGTTCCGCCCAGCAGCCCACGATGACAGCCCACAGCGGTTACTGGTCTGCAAAACATACATAAATGGTAATAAAAACACCTCAGTTCCATTTCTTTTTCTTTTTTATTGAGCAGTGTTGCGCGATTGAAGTAACTATAAAAATAGTATTATAGTCTTCAAATTAAAACATGCGAATTTGTATTATGGTGATGAAAAATGACCTTATGCTCATGATATAATATGGTGCAGTTGAATTGAAATGACAAAAAAAAAAATATTTCTATACTTCGACTTGCGTCGTCTTCGGAATGTACATTTTCATAATTGTCGACGAACAAATTCAAATCACATCAAATAGCGTGCAACATTTTTGTTACGGAGCGAGCGAAGCGAGCGGAGTCTTTCCTTAGATTAACGGAAATTTCTGAGTATGAGCGGCCGGCCGGCCGGCCGTGCGGACGCTTTTGCGAGGCTTATATCTCAGCAACCACTTGGCCGATTTACATGCGGTAATTTTTGTAGGGTAGCTTCATTCCTTCTACCAAGTATTGGACTATTCCCGATGCATGTGGGTGACCCCTTATGCACTTGCCACGTGCAAAACGAAGAGGTGTCAGTTTTGCAATTGTTGCAATATTTCGGTAACTACTTGGCCGATTGCGCTGAAAGTTGGCATGTAGGTAGGCACCCACCAGGCACTGCATATCCATGTGCCAGAGTTGGGGTGCTGCTGGGGCCCATTCCAGATCTCGAGATCAGCTGGACCGATGGCGCTCAAATTTGGTACACGGTTAGGGACCAGTTAGTAGGGTGCCGTGCACAAGTCAGTTGGGACCCATTTTGCACGTGCAGGGTGCCGCTTCCAGATCTCGAGAACGGCTGGGCCGATTGTGCTCAAATTTGGCACATCGCTAGAGACCGGTTAGTAAGGTGCCGTGCACAATTCAGTTGGAGGTACCCCCTCGAAATTTCGCACGTGCAAGGCCCACCCTCTCGCTCGCTCCGTTAGTCGCCCCAAAAGGCGTTATACTGGTAAATATTAGGAAAGCACTACCTTTAATAGATATGATGAAAAGTTATGCATCATTGCTTGAATAGTACATATCATAAAGAATATCTATAAGCATAACATTAAGACAAGTGTTCTTTGTTTGGCATGTCGAACTAATATAAACACAAACATTTGCTATTATGTTTATATTAGTTTTAAGTTTATAACATTTATGTTTATAACATTTGCTATTTGTTTATATTAGTTCGACATGCCAAACAAAGAACACTTGTTTTAATGTTATGCATTATAGATATTGTTTATGATATGTATGTACTATTCAGGCAATGATGCATAACTTTTCATCATATCTATTAAAGGTAGGTAGTGCTTTCCTAATATTTATCATAGCTAGAGATGTCACAAAAAAGTTGCACGCTATATGAAGTGATTTGAATTTGTTCGCCGACAATTATGAAAATGTACATTCCGAAGACGACGCAAGTCGAAATATATTAGATGATTTTTTTTTATCTTATTTCAATTCAACTTCACCATATTATATCATGAGCATAAGGCCATTTTTCATCACAATAATATTACTAACGATGCTTAAACATACCATTGCTTACATCCAACGACATACGAATTTGAATGAATTTGTGAATTGACGAAAGATATAAATTACCAAAATTAATGATATTGAGCAACGTTACCACCAAGCACAATACGCTATGGGGGGAATCCACAAAACGAGTATATTCTATACAAATTTTCAGTAACTCAACCATTTATAACCAGAAAAACGCCTTTTGGGGGCAACGAACGGAGCGAGGGAGAGCGTGAGCCCTGCAGGTGCGGAATTGCGGGGGGGGGGGGTACTGGCTTGAGCACGGCACCCTACTAACCGGTCTCTAGGGATGTACCAAATTTGAGCGCAATCGGCCCAGTCATTCTCGAGATCTGGAAGCGGCACCCTGCACGTGTGCACGTGCATAAGGGGTCACCCACATTCATCGGTAATAGATCAGACGGAATGAAGTTACCCTATAAAAAATTACAGCAAGTAAGTCGGTCCAGTGGTTGCGAAGATATAAGCTTCGCAAAAGCGTGACCATGGCAGGCCGGCCGTCCGGCCGCTCATACTCAACATTTTCTGTTATTCTACGTAAGACTTCGCTCACTCCGCTCGCTCCGCAGAAAGTCTGTTTCACTGACCTTTGTCACACCGCTCAGCTTTGTTACATGTGCATCGACGGCCGTTTTGTCCGCGATGAACGTTCCCACATGGTAGGCTGACGACACTTCGCTGCTTCCTGATGACCGATACCGGTACAGTTTAGCGTTGCCATCTAAATGGACGCACTTGGGATCCGCTCCGCAAGCTTCACACTCCATGTAGTCTGAGCCCTGGAGGCCTTGAAGCTCAAACTGCACGCATGTCCATTCGGTGAATGCCTTCTCCAGACGCTCAAGGTCGACGGGTCCTCGCTGAAAACAAGCAAATTACGTTACTACATTTAACGTTGTGTGACGAGGTGTGGTGAAGACTGACAACTGTCTCACGCGAATTTAATCTACCCGTGTAACCCGTGTAGTGGAGTTACCTTGATACGCATTCATAGATGTATAAGGACTCGTAAACTTGGAATTGAGCGTCAAAAAGCAGCAATAACCGACTCGTGGTTAACCATGCACCGAGGGTTGGGTGGGGAGGGGGAGGTGTGTGCGTGTGGGTGTGGGTGGGTGGGGGGGGGGGGGTCCGCCCCCCTGAGGTTTTTCATAAATAGCAGGAAAATCGCGGCGCGAAATTTATCCTGTCCTTAAAAATGACCGAAAATTTTCCGCCATTATTTTTGACGCACTTTCGATTGCCGCTTACCGCTCGACACTCTTTCGATTACCGCTTACCGCATGTCGCTACGTGGCCCACGTGCCGATCTAGACAGGGGCCATGGTGTAAAGGCATCGATTAGATAATAGTGGATTGGTGTCTCGTGAAAATTACCACAGGAATCCGCGACATTGGGATCAGGCCTGCAGAGAATTATCGTTAGGTAGTGGCAAGCTGGATGGGCATTCGGAACAGGCCTGCCATCTGAATTATCGTTAGGTAGTGGTAAGCAAGATGGCAAGCCTGAACTCGTCGCAAAAAAACTGCCAAGACACCAATCCAGTATTACTTCATCCATGGTAATGGTCTGTATAATTTTACTTACGCAGCCATAGCGTTTCCCGAGTTCCTGGAGCGCCGCGACGAACGCAGTAAGCGAAGTTCCTGGAGAGTGGCTCCTTAGTTCCTGCCACGTGATGAACACGGCTTCATGGACGACGGTACAGAGCCGGACAGGGGATGCTCGATAAAAGCCGCATCGCACCAGGTCGACGTGCTCGACTTCTTGATCATTGTTGCACAACGAGCATGACCACATCGGAAGGTGAAGATCAAATCGACCTGGAAATAAACATGGAAAATATTAAGACACATGTCTGCTTTAGAGTGGGCATGTAAATAATATAAGCTAGACATAGACTGATACAGTGATGTACGCAGACCGAGTTATACGATCCCCTTTTATGGGTTTTATTTTGGCCTTTTGCTGTAATGTTTTACCGACCATCAACTATGTGTTCATACCTACTATTTCTAGCCAACGGTGGTGGTTTTTAAAATGGCAATTAGAAGTCGGGTTTCTATTTTTAATACTCTTTTTACAAGCGTGTTTGCTAGTCTCACTCTGTTTACCTTTGTCTGTATGTAACTTGACACGGTGGTGGTAAAAGCCAACATTGTTTGGATCCCACAAAGATATCAATACAATACAATACAATACAAGCAAATAGAGTGTCCTTAAAGTTCGTTCTCAGCTAAACTTTACTTTTAGGCGCTCTGTTGTTTCACGACACGCTCAAAATTATTCATGGTTGGGCCGATTGAATTGAAACTCGGTACACAGCCAGGTCTCCATTAGATAATTCATCTGCATGTGTTAAGGTTGGGGTGCTACAGCACGTGCGCACGTGCAGGGGGCGCTCCCAGATCTCGAGAACGGCTGGGCCGATTGCGCTCAAATTTGGTACACGGTTGGGGACCAGTTAGAAGGGTACCGTGCAAAAGTCAGTTTGGACCCCGCTTGCACGTGCGCACGTGCAGAATACCGCTTCCAGATCTCAGGAACGGCTGGGCCGATTGTGTTCAAATTTGGCACACCGCCGCTAGCGACCGGTTAGAAGGGTGCTTTGCACAAGCCCGTTGGAAGTACCCTCTCGCCCTTGCACACGTGCAGGGCTCACTATCTCGCTCGCTCGTTCTTCGCCCAAAAGGCGTTTTACTGGTCAGTAAAACGCCTTTTGGGGCGACCAACGGAGCGAGCGAGAGAGCAGGCCTTCCACGTGCGAAATGCGAGGAGGTACCTCCAATAAACTTGTGCACAGCACCCTACTAACCGGTCCCTAGCGATATACCGAATTTCAGCGCAATCGGTTCAGCCGTTCTCGAGAACTGGAATCGATCCCCGCACGTGCGCATGTGCAGCAGAAACCCAACTGTGGCACATGGATATGCATTGCCTAGTGGGTGTCTACTTGTATGCCAGGTTTCAGCGCAATCGGCCCAGCAGTTACCGAGATATTGCAACTGTTACAAAACTGACACCTCTTCGTTTTGCACGTGTCACGTACACGTGTACAATATAACGGGTCACCCACATGCATCAGAAACAGTCCAATCCTTGGTAGAAGGAATGAAGCTACCCTACAAAAAATACCGCATGTAAATCGGTCAAGTGGTTGCTGAGATATAAGCCTCGCAAAAGCGTCCGCACGGCCGGTCGGCCACTCATACTCAGAAATTTATGTTTAAGAAAGAATACGCTCACTTCGCTCGCTCCGTAAGAAAGGCAAAAATGAGTTTGGTGATGCCTGAGGCTCAAAAAGACCGCTGAGATCAGTCACTAAGTCAGGTCATCCGGCCTAGCTAGCTCATATCCGAGATAAAGTACTCGTCTAAACCCCAAAAGGGTCTCAGGGAGAGGGGAAATGCCTCCGTTTCATACTGCAAGAAAATTGACTCAGATGCGAGAGAACGCATTGCGTGACATTTAATTATGCAATTTCCGCAGTGTGGCTCAGCGCATCCGTTTGCACTAGATGAATAGTTTTTGGGCACCGCCAAGGGCATCGCATTCTCGCATTACCGCAAAATTGCACGGAAAATCGCATAGTGGAGCCTGGGCATAACTCAATGACGTGACATAACACGGACATTTCTTTTCGGAGGACATGTCAAATCGATCAACTTGCTAACTAGTACTGAAAGAGTCGCCGTGATCCACTGCTTTTAACGCGAGCCATTCGCGAAAAAAAACGAGAGAATTCATACGACTCCTTACAAGACGTGTGGGTAAAAGATAAAAGCTAAAAACACAGCCCCAGTTCAGACCCTTGATCGGACGCAACAGAGCTGATATTTGTGTCAGACGGAAAGGTCGCGCATTGGAGAACCCGTACAGGGTGCTGAGCTGAACGTTACATGTACATGAACTTCACTGCTCTTTAATTGACGACTTATTACGTACGTTATCTGTCACTGGAATATCCCTGGCTCAAAAAATGTCATTCACTTAAGTGGTGTCAATCGGAACTTGGTATCGGAAACAAAATCGTGAATAGCATTGATTGACAGCTCAGCTCAGGCTCTCGATATGATAGCTTCTGGACGGCTAAAAGTACATTAAAAAGAACTTTAATGACAGTGCTGAGTGTTAATTATTGCGTTGTTTTCGAATATCTTTGGACAAATGGCTGGCTTGAACATTTTTTGGACAGAAAGTCGACGAAAATGCCGTAATGCAGTAAATGCAGTAAAACATTAAATATTTGAAGGCCCGGAGCCAGACACTTGCCCCTGCCTATTATGACGTCATGGACCCGAATGACCCATGGGCTAGGGTTGCAGATTTCGATGAGAAAAGATATTTTCAATATTCAGTTGGTGTTCGTCGTATGCGAGGCACGAATATTTAAACATAACAGTTGCATTGATGCAAACTCTCTTCAATGTAAGACAGCCAATGTGAGCACGCAGACAGCCGCGTTAGCGTACCTTGCAAGGTGATGACAATGACTGTTGACGAAGAGGCTCGAAGGTCGCATTGCCCACTGCAGCGGAAGCACTGTTTCTGTGATCCATGCAAGGGTAGAAGAGGCGCTGAAAAGAAAAAAATCGAAAGACGTCACTACGCCATTGGATTTGATCCACAGCTTTGATTTGATTATCCACCCCCCCCCCTAAAAAACGCAAGTCTAGATCCGCCAATGACGATATGATGCAAGGGATTCTTGCGTGAAAGCAAAAAACACATAAAAATGCAGCTTACCAAACTCCGAGTATTCACCAGTTGCCGAGACAGTAACGCTAGGATGCAATGCCTCCAGAAATCCACGCGTCCAATGCCGCCGACGATGGAACGGCTGTGATGTATGCCGCCCTACATCACAGTCTCGGCACAAGGCAAGTACGGGACAGTTGTCGCACATCACGCTGGCACCACTACCGCAGATGGAGCACAACGATCCTGGAAAGCATGACATAATGAGACATTGCTACTTGTATCAGTAGTACGAGCAGCGAGTAAATTAAGGGAAGATATATCGCCATAAAAATATCTGCAGGTTATATACCATGACAAATCAACTCCAAAATTCAGAACAGCAAGTGCTTCACTCAGTTGTCATTTCTTTTTCAGCCAGGCAATACTTAAACATTGTGAATATTGACATAAATCGCATAAATAAGGTGTTGATTGAAGGAGGTAATCACTATCAGCATATGAATACACAAAAGTGGGTCATTGCAACAACGAGTTAAAAAACCTGAAATCATTTACATCTGTTTTGAGAAATGGTGGCAATGCTGGTGAACGAGTGGCACCTGTTCCATCATTTCTTTCCTCAGGATAATCAAATCTTTCTCCTCCACGCCGCAACCCCCGATCTGGGCTAGACAGGCAACTTAATCCAATGCGGCCGGCTCCCATTGGAGCGCACCGCAGCTCCTAAGGCAGCACACCCGTAGCCGGGTGCATTTGTAAGGGGCTGGTCGGCCGGTCCTTTGGGACGGGCTCATCCCCGGGTGACTCACTAGGCCCTAGGGAGCCTGCCCAGACCAATGTCTCCCCCTAATTCCCATCATCCTTCCAGCTCTGCAATGGTCTCAATGAACCGCAAGGGCCTAACCCAACAAAACGAACGAGTGCAATGTGCATGCTGTTACGGGCAGAGACGTGCAGCGGGCCGGCCGGCCTACCCACCAACAACCACCACCTAGAACCTACAATGGGGAACTGGAGGTTCAGCGAACGGCCGCAGTGGCGCTGCCGTCGCCACAACCGACTAGTCTGGGCCCTGTTTCACCGGTGATAGCAGCACGCTACTATCAAATTGCGCGAGCTGACGTAATGTGATGAGGTCACACTAATGACGATTTGTGTAATCCGTGAGCTGCGTTTGGAACAGAGTTGCTGTCTCGTTGAATTGCGTTTGATACATTTGTTTGATCGCACGGCCGTGAAGATGTTAGCAGCAATATTTGATGACATCACACAGATTGACGGCGTCATGGTTTGTTGATGTTTCCATGGAAACCCAATTTGACACGTGTAATCTGCGTGTAATAGCAGCGTGCTGCTATCACCGGTGAAACAGGGCCCTGGTGTGATGGCTGGATCTTCTGCTGTGGTCATATGACAGCGGTGAGCGGACCGATCATTAGGACGGTCTGGTTTGATTGACTTTTAATTTCAGCTTGTATCAATATCCTAGGATCAGGGAGGCATACCTAGTTATCACAGACCCGATTTATCCCGCTCCCCATAAGGGGGGGGGGGGAGTGAAACGGCCCTCCCCTCTACTTTTCAGTCGGTATCTCCATAAGTATAGCAGATATCGCCACCAAACTTCCAGGACTTATCCGAGCATCAATTTCAAACCCTGTGACGAAAAATTCCAGACCTTATGATAGGTTGGTCACAAATGACGTCAGAGCGACGAAATGTCATGCCATTTTCGACAAAAAAAGGATTTGCGGGATGCGCTGTCACACTTACAGTTTTGAAAAATGGAGAAAATGTTCAGCATCAAAAAGGTGCAGGATTAACAGGGCTGTAAAAATTATATCTCAAATTCTTATTTTGACCACAAAACTTGAATGCTTTTTTATTTTGTTGGACCCCAAAATAAAAAAATAAAAAGCTTGAAAAACCGGAATTTTTTCCTAGCTCAAATTTTGCATCTCAATAGCATACCAATATTTCTGTAACATATAGTTACAGAAATATTGGTATGCTATTGAGATGCAAAATTTGAGCTAGACAGCATTTTTTTGGCAAAGCTATTGTGAAAAAAAAAAACTACTCAAAATATATGACGTCAAATAGTCAAACTCAATTTGTAGCCGTTCTAAACCACGCAGCAGTGTTCCATTTTTCAGACTTTTTGGTGGCAAATCACACCTAATGGGGAAAATATTTTCATCCCTAAAATATGAATGACCGACTTTACAGTTCCCCGTGGGGCTATCAAACACCGTTTGGATTTCCTAGTCGGTCGGTAACTTTCAGAGATCTTAGGGGGGGGGGGGGCGACCTCCACCCCTCCCAACCATGGGACCGGTAGGGTCCGCCAAATTATAGCCCAACGGGGCGCGGGATAACTGACGACAAAACGGCTCTAAACTTTGGAAAATATTAGGTGCAAGCAACTCACCAGGTGGCGGTACCGCATGAGCAGTAACAACATCCTGAAAGATTGCACTTCTGATGCCATCCCAATTTTCAGCTTCTGCTGCTTGGCGAGTGCTCCATGTTTGCACCCCTGGTACTTCATCAGTCTCAGGTAGTTGGTCCTGCTCTGTGAAGAAATGGTGATATTCACTTTGTAACAATCTCATAAGGCAATTATCAATGTGGTTGCCCCACCACCAAAAGAAAAAAAAACCTATAGGTGCTTATGTCAAATGACACGTACAGTTATGGGGATAAATGCAGCTGTATAATTTGATGGTGACATAAATTTTATCATGCTAGTGCTTATTTAGAAAACAAGTTCAAATTTACTAGCACATCTATCATGGCTGTTAAGTGATGTTGATCAATATCCAAGATTCTTTATTTTTTAAACTGTCACACTAAGCTTCAATAAATGTACTACAGGTATTCATTTTATTTTCACGAGCAGCACACATTTGTGAGTTTTAACAGGGTGAAAAGGCGCAAGCATATAACACCTCCATGCCCCTCTGCAACAGCAATTTGCAGGTTTCGAGTCAGTCAAACACTGAACATATCAATAGGAGCCAGACACTGGCTATCTCATTTGCCAAAATCTCCTGCCACGGGCAGGGACCATATCATTGGTTGGTAATTATACCTGCACTGTGAAGCTCTGTACTCGCTGGAGCAGAAGCTCCAATGGAAGCACCAGCATTCGATTTGCATGCTTTGCCACGACCTGTAAAAGAAAACCTCTGTAGTTTCTTGACAAAGTGTTTTATGTGTAAAGAGAGAAAGATACCCTCTTGGTGTGCCAGAAATGGAAAAATATAGGTGCAAAATGACATCATGTCATTATAAATATTCCACTCTTTCACAAGTCGCATCAGCTGTTTAACAACTTAGCTTTTTCTATGTCGCCACCAATGACCACATACCTACCTCCTTCCATCCCAGCAACACATAGCACCTTACATTATGCTAACCTATATCTTAAAATTTCTGAAGCTTATAGGTAAGGTACCTATTTTATTTATATTGGGTTTATGTGAGATATAGGCAGTTATGCCGTTAACTGGAATGATAAATTTCCAGATTTACATGTTAGGTAACCAATGTATAATGCAGAATCATTTCAGGGCACAATAAATCTTTCTAAACAAAACTTGACATAGTGGTACATACCATCTGCTCCAAATTGTTACAAAAAACAGAGAACTCAGGACCTTTCATTGCAAGACGTTGCATAATCATCCACTTACCTTTTCTGGCTTTTCTTTTGGAGCCTTTCCCTGCCTTGCTCTTCCCTTTTCCATTATTTAAGAAGACGCCACAGCTTTGCATGGGTTGGACATTGTCATCCTCCGAGTCACCAAACAGGAAAGTGTCTGAAAGAAAAGAAAATTGGATTGAATGTCAAACCAGCAATGGAAATGATACATGAAAATGGAATGGATAACACAAGTATGAGTACACTCTTTGCTCATGACTAAGTTTTTCTTTGTTTGACATTCTTTTTCCCGGATGGGTCAGGTCAACTAATGTAGTGTGAGGTTAATGCATGTTTTAGCCAGTAACTTGCTAACAAACTAAGCTAGAGCCTAAAAAATGGCGTCTGTATGCAATATGATGTACAGGTGCCTGCAGCCTGAATCAGCCTAGCTGAACAAAAACGCATATTTTGTGCCTACATTGCATATTTTACATGATATAAGACACATCATGTCATAAGACACATGACACACCAGGGTGGTGTTTCACCGGTGATAGCAGCATGCTGCTTTTCTGCTGACGTCACCTTGTGGTAGCGTTGGAGGCTGGAGCATTGGGGCTTGTTGACGTCTCCATGGAAACCCAATTTGACACTTGAAGTAGCAGCGTGCTGCTATCACCAGTGAAACACCACCCTGGCCCACCCAACTGAGAATACACTTCCATTTTCCAATGGGATAGAATGCAGTGAGCGAAGACATGACGAAAATCGGCAAATTCACTTAAAAATAGCAATTGAATCATTATAACAAATCATCAGCTAACTCTTTCTATTACTCGCTGACCTTCTGTTTGATCCTTCCACTTATATCATGCCATACTCATTTGCGCCCTTGAAGCAATCCACCATCATTGCTACAACAGACCAAATATTTTAATATTCTTGTAAAATCTTAAATTTGCGATCATCCATCCTACCTCCAAAGCCAGGGTATCACACCCCATTCCTTACACCTGATTCCTTTCCTTATTCTTATGTCTTACCCATAGTAGCTTGTCAGATCAGATATGAGATTGAGATTAGGATGCAACAGATGCAGCGATGAAACAATACAACAATTTTCAACCGATCAAACTTCAACCAAGCAACCGATCTTGTGGCACACGCTGCCCTAGACTTCAACTTCGTCCACGGTATACATATAAGGCCTTGCACGGTATATAGAGAACTTGACTTGGTCTAGGCTGAGACGCTTTTGAGCATACTTTTGAGGACAGCTAAATATTCAAATAAATTTAGAGGAGGATTTGGTCGGACCACTATCAGAAAGAGGAACCCTATAACTTATACTTAAAAAGCGATAAAAAATCACCTTTAATAATAAATTATTGAATATAATCCCAGTTGTGGTCACACTATGAATTTGGATTATTTAAGATGTTTTATGCATAACAGCGTTAATAAATTCCCATTACTATCACGGAGCAATCCGCAAAGGTACATGCGCGTCCTCCTCCTTTTTGGTTTCTGCGCATTGGTACACCCAGGCACCAACGAGCTCCCCCATTGGTCGCTTATCGCACCAACGAACCCTTCCCCCCTTGGTATACCCCGGTACCAACCAGCTCCGAGGACGTGTTGTATGAAGGGAGCCGGGCGGGGAGCGAACTTGTTGGTGCGGCGATGGCAGTGTTTTAGACGTCAAAAGGCCAAGACTCATGACTCGTCTCCTACATGACTCGCGTGTTATTTTTGTGATTTGGTACCTATATTGATGTAGGGCCTTGGTTGGGCCTTGGTTTGATTTGTGTGAGAAGGTGATTTTAAAGGTAGGATTGGTTTTGCTGATATAGGTATTATGGGTAATATGCTTATCCAGTACCCATAATTTTCTGATAGCATTTACTACTCACTAGCTTGGTATATGTGTCATTTCTCAGAACAGTGTACATGTAAATTAATCAAGCTGAGCTTTTCAGGTTTATCTCACCTGACTACGTTAAGTTTGCATATCCATTTGGGGCATTGCCCATTTACTACGCACTAGCTTGGTAGTGTTGTTTCTCAGACCAGTGTACGTGTAAATTAATCAAGCTTTTCAGGTTTATCTCACCTGACTACGTTATTAACTTGAACTGCTGTTGCCTGTCAGCTAAGTTTTTTTTAAAGCATTCACTACTTTGTAGGCACTGCATGCTAATATGGATATGAAATCGAGCTTTTCAGGTTTATCTCACCTGATTACGTTAAGTCTGCATATCCATTGGGGCATTGCCCATTTCCAGCTCCTGCATGCTGTGTAGTCCTTCATTCATATCATACATGTTGAACCAGATGTTGAAAGAGTGACAATATTTTCAACATTTTTATTAAAAAATACAGGATTAATTGTTAATGCACGCACACACTGTGTGATCACCATTCACAGATCACCTGTTCATAACACATCACAGTTGATGGGCTTCAGGCTGCCAATCTAATACCAGTTATTGTGAGGGACAAGGTTACCAGTGAAAGTTTTGCCAACAGCTGTCAGCTGGTGAACTTAGAGTAGCAGGCGGTGCTGGTTCTTGGGAGTAGGTCAGTAGTTTGTACTGCATTCTATTCAGGAGTCCAGGTCTTCATTCAGTAGCCATGGAGACTGGAGAGAGATGACTAAATCTGCTGAAGAAGAAAAATCAGTCATAGTGGGCAGGCAGTTGGGTTTTTGTTAAGTGACCCATTGTGAAATGCTCCATCAAGCCTGATAGTGCCTAAGTGCTGACATAGATGGGTAGAGGTACATTGTTACACAAAAATCATTGGCCATCTGTTTAGGGAACGTTTGCTCACAGAACAAAAATTGCTTTACTTTAGTCAAGACTTTTCGCAGAACAAATCTTCCGAGTTCAAGAAAACTTAGAAACGGGCCACTTTTCTGACACTGGGCCGTGCTCGTCGGTGCCGTAGCCGACGGCCAGCACGGCGTGGTTGAGGCGCGCCGCGGAGCACGCCGGGTCGTCGTACACGCCCCCGCCGTAGAACTGGAACGTCGGCCGGCTGGCGTCGACGGCGACGGAGACGGGTCCGTACACGGCCACCGCCTCCCTCAGCGCCTGCTCGTCGCCGCTCGGCAGCGCCACCGAGCCGACGTCCGTGGCGCCCACCGCGCCGGCGGCGGCGCTGTACCGGCACGCGTTGTCGTCGTCCGCCTCGTACGGGTAGGCGGCCTCCGTGTCCACGCCGCCCTGCGCGCGCACGTAGGCGAAGGCGGCGCGCATTCGGCCGCCTTCGCAGCCGTAGGCGCCGTACGGGCCGGCGCAGTCGATCAGGTTCTGCTCGCTCAGGTTCACCAGCCGACCCGTCTTGCGGAAGTGCTGTCCCTCGAGCGCGCCGTTGGCGGAGAAGGCCCAGCACGAGCCGCAGCGGCCCTGGTCCTGGACGGCTGAGACGGCGCCGACTGTGCGCCAGTCGACGGCGGCCGGCAGCTCGATCTCGGCGGGCAGTCGGAGGAAGGTGGCCGCCGTGCCGGCCGTCTCCGGCGCCGGGTGGCGGCCATCGAACCCGAGCCGCTGCGCCGCGAACTCAGAGGGCAGCAGGTCGGCAAACTGGTTCAGCTGGGGGCAGCGAGGGTGCCGGGTCAGCAGTCAGCACACAGGGTTAGCGGGTCAAAACACATGGGCGGGGAGTCAGTATACGGGAACGATGGCGAAGTCGGTGCAGGGACAGCGGATTTTATTTTATCAACTAACACCAATTTGCCTTTGTCTACTTTTGGTGACTAATGAGAAAGGCACCTACTTTCTTTATCATCGTTGAAGAGCTTTCAAACATCACTTACTGCTTATCGTTATCGAACCCCGGAGCCTAGCTTTGTTTGTTTATCTGCCTGCCAGCACCCCTGAATTTTCCTATAATTCACCCGACAAGCAGAAGGCAGCCTGTGCCGTTCAGCAATCGCACCGTCCTGCCATCGGGCACGCTAGCCGATACGGTATGACTGACCTCCAGGCTGAAGCCGTGCTCGCCGCGTTGGAAGGCCTCGTTGTGGGAGTCCACCAGCCGCCTGTTGGCCTGGAAGATGTAGAAGCGGAGGTCCTCCTCCTCCTCGGTCTCGTACTTCTTGTTGTGGGCAGGGTTGTATACGACTCAATCAATAGCAATCAATTCAATCACGACAAATTTGGGAAACCAATCAAATCAATCAAGTCAGAGCAGTTTTCGGGAATTGATTCAATCGACTCAAACGCGACAATGAAAGGAATCAATCAACTCAATCAAACGACTCAAACCAAGACATACATTAGGTTTTTTGCCCCACCAACTTGGAAAAGTGTCCATAGCAGTCTGGTGTACCTACCTACCTACCTACCTACCTACCTACCTACCTACAGAAGAAACATAAAAATATTGCCATTTAAAATTATAAATTGCCATGCCATTCAAAGTTTCTATGTAATACGGAAGGATACCTAGTGATGGACAGGTGGATCATGATATTGAGGTTCAATGGGTAGAATTGGAGCAGAAGTTTCATTTAATGGGTGCAAAATGACCCAGTAGTTGACTCGCCCCTTAACCCAAATCACCACCTTTCACCTAAAAGTTGTCAATTTAATTTTGGCCATATTCCAACTCCATTTACACTAAATATCAGATATTGCAGTTGAAAGTTGGCTGCTCGGATTTTGGCAGTAATCGTGATTTGGCCATTTACCCTACACCATGTCTATTTTAATGGATAATATGCATCAATAACATATTAACCATAGGGAAATAGAAATAAATATCTTACCTGCATCATGCATGTGACGGTTTCGGTTAGACAGAGACTGACGGGCAGCCTGAAAAATCATTCCACACAATGTGCATTTGAGACATGGGATGTTGTCAGATTGGGAAGGAAGAGATTTGAAGTATTTAGCGGTCCACGATTCTGGACGTGGTATGTCAATGTTAGGTACCTATGTGAAGAATTCAAAACATTTTATTGCAATACAATTTGAAACTGTTAGGACTGGGGGATAGGGATGAGGATTAAAAATATATTTAAAAGGAAATGGAGAGGACAGGGACTGGAAAAACGGCACGGCGCGACTGCGAAACCAATGCGAAACAACGAAAACGTTTGGTTTTGCCAATAAGTATGCTAAGCTTTTATAAATCCTTATTCTACTTCTTTTGACTTTTTGGTATGATGACGTCATTGATTATCATGTAGTATAGTAGATCATCATAAAATAAATCGGTTGTACAGCACCAATTTCGTTTTAATTATTATTTCATTTGAAATAAAAACACTTAATAATATTCGGTAAAATATTTTAAGGAAAATGAAATATATTTAATATGTTATGCTTAGGCTCTCAGGAGAAAAGGATCAACAAACGTTCTGCTGCAAATTAAACAATGCAGCAAATTAGCTATTAATTGTACGTAAACGTAATCAGCGAGACGAAAACGGCGCTTTTGCTTCAGTTATTTTTGTAGGGGTTTCAGATATTTATAGAGTTCAGTGGGTTGTTTCTGAGGAGATGTGGAGATGTGAATTATAAATTAATCACACTTTATTAGTATATAGGGCCTTGCACTTTATCATCTGGATTAAAAAAAAAGGTTTCCTGCTGAGTGCAGAAAGGAAGGTAGGTGCATCGCCAGGTTCTATCACCAGGATTGGAGCAGTTATTGCAGTTGAAAGTCAATGTTGGCTGTTCATGTTGTTTAGGCCCTGTTCTTTATTTGGCCATCTACCCCATATTGCAGTTGTGATGACAAGCAGTTTGCAGTGTAGTTTTGTGATCTTTGGTGTCATCAATTGGTGTCATTATTTTTCGTCAACTAAAACTTATTTGAACTTTCCATTCAATCGACTCAATCATACGAGTCACTCTGATTTTCGGGAATCAAATCAGTCAACCAGTCGCTAAAGTCAAACGAGTCAGTCAACCAGTCATCTCGAAAAGTCAATCGACTCAATCCAATCAACTCAAAATACGCGTTGAAACAAATCAATCAATTCAATCGACTTGATTGGTATACAACCCTGGTTGTGGGCCTGCTTGAAGTCGTTCCACTCGCTAAACATCTCCTGGCTGCCTAGGTCGTTATCTAACGTAAATAGGCTAACGGCACTCGCCAACGGAACAAGCGACATTAGAAATAGCCAATGCATTTTGAGCTCTGATGGACCTTTTACTCTAAGATAAGGCACAAACAGTTGATATCCAGGACCGGTGCGGCCCCCAGGTCGTCCGAGTACACAGTGAACCAAGGCCATATAACCGTGAACGCCGGCGCCTCCACCGGCACGCTCGCAGACGGTGATCCAGCTGTCCTCCAGCAAGGTCAGGTCAGGCGGCGGTCTCCCATTGGCTGACCGAAGCGGCGGATCGATTTACGCATGCGCGGCGACCCGACCGGACCGGGGTCAGCCCGGGAGGTAGACTGTGCCGCGGGACTCGCCGTCTGTCCCACCCCGCGCGGCGGCGCGGGAGAGCTGCCCCCCCCCCCCCAATCCCCACCGCGATCGGGGAAGATGGCCCGCAACAAATATCTGCAGGCTCCTCGGCTGAGAGGTGCAAGGGCCGTGCGACTTCCACCATACCCCGTTCATTGTGGTATGCGGTCGACGTAATCGTAAGTGGAGACCATCTATACTGGCTCTTTCCGTGGGAATTAAGGCCCTCGTCAAATAACGCACCAGCAGGTGACTGCATACCTAAAGCTTGGTGTAACATTTCATATCAGGGTGTATTTTACGCAAAAAAAAACTCGCTTTGGTTATTTTGGACCTTATTTAGGTACAGCATTCTGCTGCTTGAATCATACTTTTCCCGCGCCGGGCCGGGGGTGTTCGGACACCCCCTGTGGTTTTCGCAGGTATTGACACACGTGTTCATGCATCTGCTCGCACAAGCTTGAAAATTTCAGATCCAAGTCGCTTAACCCGCGCCCCGCTGGGCTATTCAGCCATACGCGCCCTGCTGGGGGGGGGGGGCAGATTCTGCCCCCCCCCCGTCTAACTTCCGAACCGATGATCGTAGAAAGACGGGGAAAACGGCAATCGAAAGCTCTCAACAAGGCGGATCTTAGGAGCCCAAATTTTTTTGCTTAAGTAGGTCAGAGGTCAGGTCAAGGTTAGGTCAAGGGTACAAAATGTAAGTTTCTACAGTATCGGCCTTGCACCGTAGTTACCGAAGAATGGACTGAGACTGATTGCCCAAAACGTGTTCTAAGGTTACCAAGACAACATTTGTTGCATACAATATCATGCAAAGGTCAAGGTCAAGGTCAGGTCAGGTCACCAAAAACGAAATATGGAAAAAGGCATCTGCGACACATGTTTTATGGGTCATTTTATTCATATAATTCAATAGGTACACTCAATAATAAATATGGACCACATCTGGATGAATTTCAGGTCGAGGTCAGGCCAAGGTCAGGTCAAGTAAGGTCAAATTTTGAAGTTGCTTGTTAAGGCCTAAAAAGGTGCCTATCTGATGAAGTTTTTCACGGCGAATCGAATGATGCTATTTTCGTTTCCGTACGAGGTCTAGAACTTCCAAAAAAATGATTTCTCAAAATTTTTGTGTGTCGTGACGTCATAAAATTTTGAATAACTCCCACATTTTTGAACCGATTTTTCTAAAAATTGGTATGTAGGTGCACATAGACCTCTGCTCTGACATATATTCCGGTTTTTTCGATATACTCAAAATTTTGGATTTTATAATTATTTTCCCAAAAAAGTCAGTTTTTTAGAAAAAAAAATTTGGGCCAAAATCCAAAATTTTCAAAAAACCGAGATATCCATTTGATAGACAAAGGAGAATCACGTATGTATAACATTTTTTGTTACGTCTTGATTCCTTTAAAAATGAAGATGTTAGCGGCGTTTGAAATTTTGCCGTTTTTGAGGCGAAAATGGCGAACATGACGTCACTAAAACGTCAATTTCTCAAAAATTTTCCGACGGATTTCGCTCAAATTTTCAGGAAACATGTCAAATTGATGTATGATAAGGTACCGAAAGTTTGACGTCGCTGGCGTAACGCGTTTAGAAGTGACCTCACCTAAAAAAAATGAATGCTCGTCATAGCCGTCACAGCTACACCGACTGAACGGTCGTCTTGAAACTTCAGCGATTGATTAACCCGCGCCCCGTTGGGCTCTGCCGAGCAACGCGCCCTGTTGGGGGGGGGGGGCATTTTGCCCCCCCCCTAAGATCTCGAAAACCACGCAACCTAGCGACAAGCGGCAAGGGGTGTTGGATAGCCCTATCAGGGAACTACCTTGTGACCCAATTTTATTGACCTAGGTCAAATCGATGACGTCACGGGTCAGGTCAAAGGTCCAATTTTCACCGTTTGCAGGCATTTCAAGAAATGCGTTGTAAAATCGAGTAAAATGCATTTCATTGAAAATCATCGATGGGGAAATGTTCTTCAAACACATATTTTGCTATTTGAGGTCACTGATACCAGGTCAGGTCACAGAGGTCAGGTCACTGGGGGGTCACAATATGAAAGTGTCGTGTGATACCTACATGTTTTATGGTCCATTTTAGGTACATGACAAATGCGATTATGTGGGTCAGGCAGCATTTGGGGCCAGCTTAGGTCACGTTTTGGTCAAGGTCAGGTCAAGGTCAGGTCAAATTAGGTCAAATTTCAAAGTTAATATTTTGCATAAAATGGATATTGAATCGATGCAGCTCGTCACGGGGAGTTCAATGGTGGTCTTTGTTTTGCCGTACGTAGTCTAGAATCGCTAAAAAATGAGTTAAAAAATTTGACGTCATCATTTTTGAACAGTTTTTTTTCGCTCTAACTTGGCCAAAAAACGAGATATCGATCGGAAATTTGGTATGTATATAGAATAGCGCAGGGACTATCACATTTATTCCGGTTTTTTCGAAATTCGGAAAATTTGGGATTTGCTTAAAGTTTTTCTAAAAAAAAATAATTTTTGGCATTTTTTTTTTGGTCAAAAACCCAAAATATTGAAAATCCGAGATAACAGTTCTGTAGCGCCGCTTTTTGTCTACTACACCATATAAAGAACTTTGAAATTGCTTGATAACTGTAGAATTGGTGAGCATTTCAAGATTGCATGTTTTTTGCTCATTTTTGCTCGAACATGACCTACCTCAATAACTCCTGACCTAAGGTGACCTAAGACTTGAAATTTGGTGTGAAGATGTCAAATTGATGCCCGGGAAGGTACTGAAAATTTGGCGGCGCTGCGCGCCGCTGTTTTGCTATTCAGGAAAAGCCACAAGGGGGCCAAAATGGCCTCCCCCAACGGGGCGAGGGTTAAGAGTAGCAGTATGTGATGTGACATGTATCTCTCTGAAAATTTTATATCGGTATCCTAAGGTCAGGTCCATTTTGCGCCCTCTCAATTATAAGTCAAAAAGAGAAGCAAAGGACAAGTGTCATTCTAAACCACAGACTCGTTGGACAAGCGTCTTTCTAAACACTCAAACATCAAGTTGTAGGTAAAATTGACACGCTGAACCAAAAAATTACACCCTTGACTCCTCATGCTCCTGAGGTCATCTCAGGTCATGAAAGGTTCCCAATTTAGGCAGTTTTTTGGCAATAACTTTTGCTAGAGACCATATACAGCGCTATTGATTCCCGAGTCATGCGCCGGGTTTTCGAAAAAAAAATGTTGTAGTAGGCCACATTTTACCTTTGATGACCTCTGGTGACCTGACCTTTGATCTGACCTAAAAATGACTGGAGTATTCTCGTCATGAGTTGCTACGTTCTTTCGAATACCGCTTACCGCGTGTTGCTACGTGGCTCAGGAGCCGAATTAAAAAGGGGGTGTTCAGACCCCCCCCCACACACACACACACCCTCCCCGCAAGGCGGCGCGGGCTAATCATTCGTATGCGGTTGCATACACGATTCGTTTATGAAACCGTTTGGGCGTAAAATGCAACCAAATGGGTGGAAAAGTGCGCCAGTGGTAATTTAACCCATCTATGAAATCGGTCTGGCCACAGCCATCGGTTGAACTGAGGCTTAAAATATTTGTTTCATCTGTTTGGAGGCGGTAGCGATGTTGCGACTCAGATTGAGACTTAACCCGCGCACCGACGGGGGTCTGCGCCAACTTCGCACCGACGCACGGTCTTGCCGAATACCAGATTAGCGCGAATTTAATAAAAAAACCGACTTTCGATAAACTGTTATTTATACATATCAGTGGGTAGGAAATTGTCTGAAGTTATCTGATAGAACCTTATTTTCAAGCCACTTTACCATTTGAGGACTTATATCCCTGCCGAAAGTAGACCCACGCTCCGGTTCCTAAAATCGGACTATGGTACTGATAAATATGTCCAGTTTTCAACGTAAATTTTACGGAAGTTTCGAGAAGATATATGAGAAAATAGCATATCACCGGATAGCACAATTCATGATGAAGCTGTTTCTGCTATCATGGTAGCTTTTCAATGAATGGTTTTTGAGTTTAATGAGTTAGAACAAGAGCCCTGCATGTGTATCGTTCTCACGATAGTATTTAATAAAGAAGTTGAAAAATGTCAAAATGGATAAAAATGGATATGACGAATAGGGCATGGCTGAACTCTCCGCACCTTTCTGAACATAAGCGAGCAAGTTTCAGCTGCCAGTTTTTGCCTATTTGCCGTCAACTCAGCTTTGAACATGTCTAGTCGGCCGCCCTATGTGACCTGACCAAGGTCGGGGGCGGCGCGGCCGGACAGGCTCCAGCCTAATAAACTATCTCAAGCACACGAAATCGTGATTACATGCACTCCTTGCAAGGTCCGATGCTTCACCTATGCATTGTTCCGTCACTAGGGTAATAAGAGTTTTTCGTCAATAACTCCCGATTAAATTGAGCTAGCGAGTCGAGAAAGCCACCAATGGACTCAGGAAGACTTGCTGAATCGAATGATATGCAACATGACCTCCTTCAACCAACTTCGTGATCTGGAGGACTCTGACCTGACCTTGACCCATGGTCAACACCTTAAGTTAACTTCAGCCGAACAAAAAGTATACCATTCGACGCGCCTGAGTGAGGCGAACATGATGATACCAAAATTGCGGCTCTGCGGCATTTTTTCGCGAAGTTATTAATAAAAAATGAATCCGCGCCTGGGTCACTTGACCTGACCTCAGAGGTCACAGGTTGGCCTAAGACCTTAAAATCGGATACCAGTCGCTGCGTCTCGTAACGGCGCACACGCTCGTTTTTTCCGCGGGGCTCTAGCTCCATCAG